CCAGTCATCCATCACATGCACCCACCATCACCTATCTAACCCAGCCATCCATCACATGCACCCACCGTCACCGATCTAACCCAGCCATCCATCATATGCACCCACCATCACCTATCTAACCCAGCCAGCCATCACATGCACCCACCATCACCGATCTAACCCAGTCATCCATCACATGCACCCACCATCACGGATCTAACTCAGCCATCCATCACATGCACCCACCACCACCGATCTAACCAATCCATCACATGCACCCACCATCACCTATCTAACCAATCCATCCATCACATGCACCCACCATCACCTATCTAACCCAGCCATCCATCACATGCACCCACCATCACGGATCTAACTCAGCCATCCATCACATGCACCAACCACCACCGATCTAACCCAGCCAGCCATCACATGCACCCACTATCACCCATCTAACCCAGCCAGCCATCACTACGTCTACGTCATCTCCTCACCTCCACGTTACATTAAACATGAAGCGAGTTACTCACCAACACGAAGCCTATAACTATGAAATGAACCAGTTGGAGCCCAAATACTCACAGTAGAACAATAGAAGCCTCGAGACGGTGGCCAATTACCCACGCTCCAGTGTTCCAGAGTGTTATCTAGCCCAGCACAGGTGAGGCAGTCATTTGTACAGAAGCTAGATGGCCAGATACACCAGCATCCTTGCTAGATGTTTGTAGCCGACCAATAGTAGACTGTTTTATGGGGAATTAATGTATTTCAAGCCGCGCTACCTCTGCAGAAGTGCAGAATTAATTAAACATAGCCGAAGAGTAATTCTCTCACGCTATAGCAATTAATGGAAAGTGTAGCGTGTCGTTTACGTTGTCTTTTTCATCTTGAACAAGCTACGACGGTAATAGGGTGTTTCCTTTCTCAATTAGTTGGAATATACGGTAAACCTGCGCCGCATGGCGGGCATAGAAGTGCTATCGGGTTACAGACATGCAGCTTTCATATTCAGCGTCATTATACGACATGTTTTCTATGCAAGGTGTCCACGCCTTCCCTCCTATCATTCTTCCTTTTACTTCTATGTAAATTCACCCATGAATATTTTGGTACAAAATGGACTAAATTCCATTCTGTGTATTAAAATTGAAAATGAAAATATTCTGCTGTGAATTAATTCGAGTTTATTATTTACAAATCTCTTTAGAACACAGACATAGGTAAAGTACAACTATATTCAAATTTAGATTTAGATTGAGGTGCCAAATTCATAAAATGTGTAGCTAATATGATACAGAAATAATTTTGTTTCACCAAATTGATACTTCATTTATGTACAGTTATATTCAAAATACTGAGTGTGGTTTCAGATTGTGTTTTTAAATCGACGACTAGGTCTGTTTGTGTTTGACTTTATCTCTACGTTGTACATCTGTTTGCAACACACAATACGTAATAGTATACATTGCCAGCTGTAGGGGTTCGAGGCATGCAGAGGAACACTCCCTCTCTTCTATGTCACAAGACTGACTCTGCCCTCATCACTGTGATCCAACTCCAGAATGCCAACATGGCCATCATGGAGGGATGCCATTAGTGATGCAGTTCATCCTGCGTTCACTGGCTCTGATGAAAGTTCACCCAGGAGCTCTCTCGGAACGTTTTGAAGTCATATCTAGCTCGGTTATACCAGAAGGACCACGCGACCTTCATTTACTGATTTATCACATGCTGAAGTTTGCTTTAAAGCCACCTCGCATTTTGAGAAACATCGTATGATCTAGAAGATGCACCATTCCCATAATCGCATTGACTCGTTCCCTTGAGAATATTCGCATAATCGCATTGACTCCGTCTCTTGAGAATAATCGTATAACCATATTGACTTTGTTACTTGAAAATATACGCATAATCGCCAAGGCTCCGTCACTTGAAAATATTCGCATGATATTATTGATTCTTTCACTTGAGAATATTCGCATAATCATATTGACTGGTTCACTTGAGAATATTCGCATAATCATATTGACTTGTTCACTTGAGAATATTTGCACAACCATATTGACTCCGTCACTCAGTAGTAAGACTATTCGCATAATCCTTTTGATTCTTTCACTTGAGAATATTTGCATAATCGCTTTAATTCATTATTCGAGAACACTGGCATAATCGCCTTGACTTTGTCACTTGAGAATACTCGCATATTAGCCTTGACGCTTTTACTTGAGATTATTCGCATAATCGCATTGACTCCGTCACTTGAGAATAACGCATAAAAACATGTTGATTTTGTCACTTTGAGAATATTTGCATAATCTCCGTGACTCAGTCAGTTGAGTATGTTTGTTAAACTGGGGGTTGAAATATTCAAGATTATAGATGTGACAGTCCAACCATGCTCTACAAAGGACATATCAGTGTTTTATTTTTGAAGACATAGCAAGGTTAACTGATATTATTCTTGTTAAAGTATTTATTAAGACACTGTAACAAACCATTGGTATAAGAAATAATTCGTTTCACGTGGAATTGTTTATTCGTGTGTTTCCTTTATTCACTCATATGCGTCCTGTGTAACCCTGCACACTTCAGCATATTCGCCGAAGTGTATTCTAGAATCAAGTGCGACAGCCCAAGGTCAAATTGATGAAACAATACTCACCCGTCACTTAATACATCGTTTCTGCTTAATCGGACTTATATAACTGGTTTAGGATCTAATGTGTCTCACTATTACTGCTTGTATGGGCACAAACCTTGTGTATCTCATGCTTACATCTCCTACGTAACGCTTACATCACTTATCTAACGTTCACAGCTATCTAACGCTTACATCTCCTATCAAAAGCCTACATCTCCTATCTAACGCTTACATCTCCTATCTAACGCTTACATCTCCTATCTGACGCTTACATCTCCTATCTAACGCTTACATCTCCTGTCAAAAGCTTACATCTCCCATCTAACGCTTACATCTCCTATCAAAAGCTTACATCTCCTATCTAACGCTTACATCTCCTATCTAACGCTTACATCTATCTAACGCTTATATCTATCCAACGCTTACATCTCCTATCTGACGCTTACATCTCCTATCAAAAGCTTACATCTCCTAGCTAACGCTTACATCTCCTATCTAACGCTTACATCTCCTATCAAAAGCTTACATCTCCTAGCTAACGCTTACATCTCCTAGCTAACGTTTACATCTTCTATCTAAGGCTTACATCTCCTATCTAACGCTTACATCTCCTATGTAACGCTTACATCACCTATGTAACGCTTACACCTCCTATCTAACGCTTACATCTCCTATCTAACGCTTACATCTCCTATCAAAAGCTTACATCTCCTAGCTAACGCTTACATCTCCTATGTAACGCTTACATCTCCTATCTAACGCTTACATCTCATATCAAAAGCTTTCAAAAAGTAGAATGGCAGACATGTGGAGGACATTTCCAGATTTGACGCATCAGTGACAAAAATGATGCCCGATGCAATTCCCAATTTTGACTTGTGCCGTATGTTCCCGTGTGTTTTTTTAGGTCAATAATTGACTTGCCTTTGCATGTGTTTGTGACGGGTGCACCCGCAGGGGCAGGATACGCTTCCCTTTTCATCATCACATTTTGATAGTGATCTATAAACACACGCTTATGATATAGTCGGAATCGTACAATCGAGATTTCTTATGAATATGGAAAGGGTTTTGTCTCTATGTTTACAACGACTCTCACGCTCAGATCACATATGTTGGCGGATACACCTCTACAACTATTAACGTACACAATTATTTACCCGGGTAAGCTGGTACGATGTGTTCAGCGGTTACAGCCTATATAAGATGCACCTCATTTACGTGCTCGAGGACGCTCGTAGGAACTATCCGGCAATTACACACTTGGCGCTATTGGAGTGTCTCTTGGCTTCACCTGTTTCAACGACAACAATCGCACAATGATCCAAGCGTTTACGCCGAACCAGCTAACACGGCAAAAACCCGCAATGCAGGCGCATCTGAGATTCTTACCTATCGACATTTTGATAACATTTACGCGCCGTGCCTCAACAACGACGTAAACTTGTCAACAAACCGGACCGAGGTCCAACACACCAATATACTCTGACATTTCCGTGTACATGGGGTTTATCAGAGAAAAAAGCGACCCTGACTCGGTAGTTAATTACGTATGAACTCAAGACATGTAATAAACATCAACACAGCCTCCGAACCAATAAACCAGAGATAACTCCATATAACTTTTCATTAAGATGATAAAGTGCTGTGCCACCTGTACAAAGATGTCAAGTCTTGGCACAGTTGGAACCTATATATTCCTCCTAAATAACACAAATCTGGGTCAGATGAAGTAAACTTTAAACACACACAGCCATTACCCGTGGCATTTCTAAACACTAACCATATTTTCGCATAATTAAAACTTGTAAATTTAAACCGTGTTGTATGTTTGTAAGCTAAATACTAATTAGCCTATCGTGAATACATTCAGGAACGACACCGACAGCATACCAGCAACATCCCAGCCACATCATGTCGTGCCGACAACAATGTGGGGATGACAAGTGCAAGCACTGCTCGTGTTCTTGCCTCTGTTTCTCTATATTACCCCCACAGCCCGGTCCTACTGTAATTGCCCTTGTGAATTATGCACAGAAATCAATGTTGAGTGACCGTGCTACCTCGAATTTGGATCGTGAAGAAATTAAAAAAGGTTTCAGCACATCAACAGAGCAGTCAGTGCAGATGTGTATACAGTATGTAGCTTCCTCATCTTAAATTAGATTTATTTATGTTTATACGCTCAGTTAACGATTTTATTTAATTTAGTAATGGGTTTATTTATGCAAGAGTTTATTTTCACCGCGGTTTCTATAAAAAGATTTTAATATATACATACATAAGGAAGACGTAAAAATAATTATAGGACATTCCACATGCATATTTTCACCATGAATCGATGATGACTTATGTATTATGTACATATGTACTTTCTCACCTTAAGTCCTTGATATGGTAATACAATCCAAATGGACCACCTTGTCAGAATGACCAGGGACTCAAGAAGAGATCACAGGACAAGCGCCCACTGTGGTCATTCGTCAGAAGAAGCTGACCAAATCAAAATCCGATAACAGATCAAAGACGTCTCCTTTGACATGTCACTGGGAAATCCACAAGTGTAAACATTCTCACGGAGAGTCTAGCACTGGTATACACGCGAATAGATATTGACATCACATTGAGACAGATCTAACCCGTGATGACAGTCTTAGATATTGGACGAGGAATCCCCGGGGTTCCTGGAGTCAAAGACACAATCCACCTTGTTCACATACACCGGTTCTCCACTATATATCATGTTCACGTACACGAGAGTTCCACTTAATATCGTGTTCACATCAACAAGATGCGTTCACATCCACAGTAGCTCCACTTTGTATCGTGTTCACAGTCACTGAAGTTCCGATTCCAGTCAGTTGCTTGTAATCAAACAGACAAACTCTATAGCTCTAGCGTGCATGCTGTACTATCAGAGATATATGGCAGCACTTCACTGAAATCATCTCCAAACTGCTACTGAGACAACATACAGGCCGACCAGGCAAGTAAGGCAACACCTACAACGGTAACCCTACACCCGTGCGCTCTACACGTGGAGGAGAGGTTGTAGGTATGGGACAAGATAGACTCTGGATCGTAAACGATGGGTATGGCCTGGGTCTGTAAGGGACTATTTCGCCACCCCCTCGTCAACGCTACTTGGAGTTTCTTGTAGCTGTGGCGAATGCTGCGATAAAGTCCTGGTCTCGGGGACGAACTTCTGATAAGGAAGCTTCTGGAAGTTGTCTAGCAATGATATAGTGGTGTTATCTGATAATGGAGCATTTGTGCCCGAGGTTTGGTTTTGAGGGAGGCTCGACGGTTCTCAGTGCTGGTCTGTTTGGGTGTACGTTCCGATTAGATTGGAACAAATAACGTTTGAGAATTATCAACATGTTGATTGAATAAGTTCATTTCTCTGTTCAGAACGTCACGTGCTGGTTGTTCTTTAAGGTGAATCAAAGACGGGTTGAGAGAGCTCTACGCACAATCAAGACACATCTTGTGTCGGTGAACACATACCAGGCTCATTGGATCATAATGACAGCGCATAGATGGGCGTCAGAGTAACAACAGTGATACACGAATATTACATGTGATAAAATACACATTAGCATCCTCATCATAGTTAATGAGGTCGATCGAGATTACATAACCTTGACCTACATCAGACTCATATGGTGCCTCACGATTACATTCGTATGATGTCACTCTTATGATACTAAAATATTACAAGTGATAAAATACACATTAGCATCCTCATCAGAGTTAATGAGGTCGATCGAGATTACATAACCTTGACCTACATATCAGACTCATATGGTACCTCACGATTTGACTGTATGATGTCACTCGTATGATATTAGAATATTACATGTGATAAAATACACATTAGCATCCTCATCAGACTTAATGAGGTCAATCAAGATAAAATAACCTTGACCTACATTAGATTACATAAACATGTAAGTCGATGTATGTTTCAACGTCGGCTGGGGGCGGTCGGGTAGCCAGTGGTTAAAGCGTTCGGTCGTCACGCTGAAGACCCGGGTTCGATTCCCGACATGGGTACATTGTATGAAGCCCATTTCTGGTGTCCCCCGCCGTGATATTGCTGGAATATTGCTAAAAGCGGCGTAAAACCAAACTCACTCTCTCAACGTAGGCGGAGTGAGTGAGTATGGTATTACGTCCCTTGACATACCTCCTATGGGACCGCTGGACACCATGAGTGGGCTTCTCACATTGCACTCATATTCGGAATCGAACCCGGATCGACGTGACGAGCAGAGCATTAAACCACTTTGCTACTCAATGATTAAGTTTAGCTTTGGCTGCATGAAACATTAATGTCTGTCTCAAATGTTTTCATGAAACTGATACAAGTAGAGAAAGTAACAACGGATGCGAACTTTCCTCAGAGGTGAGAAAGGTAGAAACACTATCTTTCACTTTCATTTTGTTCTAACTTTAATTCAATTTTTTTTTTTTCAAAATATAATCAAAATCATGTTTTTTTTAGCTTTTTCAAACGACAAAATACTAATTTTAAAGACATGTAGTACAAACAGAAGTTAAAGAACAAGGTTCTTTCATATTACTGTTTTTGATCAGTTTTAAGCATCAGAAAGTCAAGCGACAGGTCATCGTTTCCCGCATCTCGAGTATAATGTCGACTCTTACAAAATAGTCCGTTACAAGACAATCCAGTTATTGACACCATGAGCATCGATCCACGCTGGGGAACGATGACATGCATCAACCAAGTCAGCAAGCCTGACCTTCCGATCCCGTTAGTCGCCTCTTACGACAAGCACAGTCGCCTCTTACGACACGCATGGGTTGCTGAAGACCTATACAAAATAGTATAAGGTATATGTTGAGTGCATTTAGGCACGCGGCGCCGTTACCCGAGAAACAAGTTTTTTAAGCCTCGCGTACAAGAGACAACAATTAAGGGGGGCTGCGGGTGATTTTGTTCTTGTGTTTTGGTATCTGTGGCCCTGAATGTGTAGTATATCGATGTACACTGTAGAACACCAACCATCTCGTGTATACTAATGAACATCCGTGGCATAGCGTATCTGGTGGTATGCACAGACAAAAAAAAGAAGAAATTAGTTCGCAAAAAGGACCAGGGAGCTGTAGACATTGGGGAAGCGGAAAATCACTTTCACATGTTACCAGGATATTGTTTTAGTAAACAAGAATAACTTCCCTGTTACGTGATTTACGTAGGAAAATACTGGGAAGACGAGTAGCGACTAAACATGGCGGCTTGCTCCGGATGATCATAGCTCAACTTGGCTTGTTTGTTTGTTTGTTTGTTGTTTAACGCCGCGCTCAGCAATATTCCGGCTATATGACAGCGGTCTGTAAATAATCGAGTCTGGACAAGACAATCCAGTGATTGACATCATGAGCATCGATCCACGCAATTGGGATAGAATGACATGTATCAACCAATTCAGCGAGCCTGACCACCTGGTCCGGTTAGTCGCCTTTTACGGCAAGCATGGGTAGCTGGACTTGGCACTCGGGGAATGATAAGAAGATGCAGAGAGGGAGACAAGAATATCTATGGGTATGTGGCTTATACCGGGCTTTACTTTGAAGGATGTGCATGCTTTGACATTACTTAGGAAACCGACGAATTTGTTAAATAAATGAGTGTGGTGAGGTGAAATGGGGTTTAACGTCGCGTCCAAGATTATTGCACTTATATAGCGACGTGCATGCACGTGTATGTATGTGTGTGGCTGCTTGTACTAGTCCGGACTGATGCCGATTTATAGTGCTAGCTCACTGAGATACCATGCCGCAGTTTAACATGAATACCCCACTCAGACACCGTATACTGACTCTGAGCCGACCAGTCCTTGTTTTAGCCCCTTAAGGCCGAGCGCCAGACAGGGAAAAAACAAGTACCATCTTTTAACGACTTTTGTTATGACGCGGTCGGGGATCAAACTCCGGACCTTCCGCTCTCCGGGCGGACGCTATACCTCTAGAATACGGAGGCGGTTAAATGAGTGAGATCCATATGGTTCATTCATTACTGCAACATTCCTGAACGTGTACATGCTATGTGATTATCATTAACATGAAATAAGACATTAGTCAAAATAATTATGATGACTGGCACTATAATCCGGCATCAGCCCGGGCTAGTAAAAGCAGCCACACGCTCGTATATGTACACCCAAGTGCATGCACGTCGGTATAGGAGTGCAATAATCTTGAACGAGACGTTACTCCAATATCTCCCTCACCCGAGTATGTCGACCACACAGACACACAAATGAACTGTTGGCACGGGTGGCCCAGTCGTCTAAGGCGCCGCGATTCGCTGTGCAGAGTTGCGTCCCTTGGACACGCCAGAAACCAATGATTGTGGGTTCGAATCCCGGTCCGCCCTGATTATGTTTCTAGGTTTGTTAGCACCATACCCGTGCTCGTGGGTTTCACCGAAGTGGTAAACGTCTGGGACCTGCATCACGTCGGGCTTTCCTCCCACATTAAGCTGACACGCCGTGATATAACTGGAATGCTGTTAAAAGCGGCGTTAAACCCAACTCACTCACTCATACATGAACTGCCCCTGTTTTTCGTAAAGTAGAAAAGTCGGAGTATCGCATACCAAGGGTAACTAAGAATCAGAATAGCCCAGTTGTTCATTTCTATTTTTCTGGATAAATCACATTTAAAACGTATAAAACTATTTGTTAGGACATTCAGATAAAATACTGCATTAATAAGTAGACACGGAGTGTTGTTAACGACCGCCGTGCACCTTAGGGACCTCAGCTGACAATGTCTTGGCCCAGGTGAATATGTCAGGCGAAAGTTTATTGTTTAGACTTGATATTATATATTAGTATCTTTGTCTTCTGGGGAAACATTAACTTTAAAGCAATGTGTTTTATATGTAAATTATGCTAATTAGATGAATTAAGAGGGAGAATGTGGGGGAGGTTTCATCCCTCCCTAGCTGATCGAGGTTGGTAGCGTAGCCTGATGATAAAACCTTGGCTTGTCACATCTAATTCCCAGTTCGATTCTTCAGATGAGTACAACGTGTGAACCCCATTCCCGGTGCTCATTAGTTTTTTTAAAATATTCCAGCAATATCTGCAAACTCGGCGCAATACGTCGCCCACAGGGCAATGGAAACATTTACATTCTTTGGGAAACGTCTTCGGAAATAATGCTGCATGTAAGAAATTAATTATTATTTCAAAGAATTAATATCTGAAAGAAAACTGAAAACGAATATCAGTGCTCCCATGTAGACCCTGGTTAGAAGTGAGGCTCAGCATCTTAATTGTGGTCGTAATTGCGGTTAAATTAATTAGGGAGGTCAAGATTTGTGACTTGGCTGACAACCTGGTTCCCTTGGTAGGCTGCGCTTGCGCTACACTGACTTAACCATGACCTACATTTGATAAATTATTTAATATGTTGATATTCTATGTAACATAATTCTAACATAATTGTATGTGCTTTATTAGTCTTTGTCATTTATGTTTTTAAATCAGTATACAAAGGCAAAGATGCCTGATTTTCGCGAAAAGGTGCGTATCCTGCGCCACCGGTGGCACCCGTCACAAACACATTCAAATTCAAGTCAATTGTTCACCTGAAAAACACACACGGGATCATATTGTACAAGTCAAAGAAGAGAATTGCATCGGACATCATTTTGATGATTGATGCGTCAAATTTGGAAATTTCTACCACGTGTCTACCATTCTACTTTTTGAACGCGTTACTGAGGCCTTGAAATCTTGTAACCCTGATCAAACATTTTTCCAGCAAGAGCCGCCTGTCGCTCTTTGAAATCTTCGTAGTAAGAGCACCATTGCACTATTGGAAAGTTGGAGTCATCCTCTTGTCTTGTGGAGAGCTTTTTGTTACTCTGAATCCTTATACACACCAGCTCATGTATTCACAACGCGTGCACAAGCCCCCCACCCCCACCCCCATTCCCAACCTCCGCACGATCAAATAATATAGTTTCATGTAAGTAGGTTTGAAGTTAGTATATTGTATCATTTTGATTAAAAAGAGGCTCTAAGAAATCCCCGAACATTGCTGTACAAATCTCTCTCAACATTTAACAGTGATACATATTTACGAGAATTGTAACTTCACCTGGGGTGGCTACTTCAGGTGTTT